TTTTACGTAAAGTTTAAATACGCATAGTTTAAGTAAACAACTACAAGTACGGGATAATTATTTCTACTGTATATATATATATATATATACAGTCCCCCCCCTCTAGTGCAATACCACGAGTTTTGAATTTCGTACCACAATGAAGCAATAGCATTTACCTTCAAACTTCCCAAAGTTTACCCGTTTCAAATTTCTGATAAAATATGAAAATAAGTGTTTTTTTTTATTATTATTATGTATCTAAAAATTAATTGACGCTGTTAGAGTTGTTTATCTATAAACATGGCAATGAAAGTGGTTAAACAGTTTTTCAAAACTTGTGTTCAACGGGTAATTGAGTAGTTTTAAACTAGGTTCGAAATCATCAAGGAAAATTTGAAACAAAACAAACATATATTTATAAGTTTACTACCCTTGGCCACTAACAACAAAAATTTCCCGACAGTCGTTGCGATTCAATGACAACAGTAAACTTCTTGCCCCAAATATTATCGTGTTTGTTTATAGCAAAAGTCTGAGAGTTCACATATGTTACAGTCCACGTTAACCAATGAATTACAACCTTTGATCTTTAGTATGATCATGCCAAGTCTCCACATAATTGCTTTAGTCTTATGAACACTTTGACCTTCCTCTATCCCACGCCTTTTCAAAACAGGTCCTCAAATAAGATTAATTTACATGTTTTTACAGTCGTGTGATCGTAACCAGTCGGTCCATCGCCTACTTACATGTAGGACAATTTTATACGAAACGAGAATTCAGATTCAGCTGACATTAAAATTTAATCTTTGAATTGTAGTATTGAACATACCGACCTTCTTTCGACATATCACAAGTACACTTAATGGCATGCCAACATTCTCAAACCGTTAATGTTTCATGATTTTGATACATATCAGGCTGCCTCACTTCACTCCAACAAACCTTTTGAAATAATGTACTATAAACTTATATTTAAACGTTTTTATAATTCAGATATAAGTTTGTAAGATTATATCCAATTAAAATGACTACAAAAATAAAACAGCAAAACGTAAAACAGGTCACATGACATAATTTATATTACTCTTAGACTCTTGAACAAGAGCGCAATTGTTATATACAGATATATAAATCCAACAACGCCAACGTACCTCGCACTGATTGTACATGATTTCGGAAAACCGACTTTACTGACAAATATCATCATAAATACTCGTAAGCCATGACGAATTGTGGTTTTTGATATAACTTACAAGTGAATATGCTTTGTTAAAGGGTCAGGTACGTATATTTACATAAAATAATCGTCAGTCTGTATACAAACTTATACTACTGTTAATGCATAAAAATGCACGTAAAAAAGTTTACTTACACTGATATTACAAAATCAAACTATAGTTTTTTATTTCTACACAAGATTCT